CATAGGCGTGTCCACGGGGGGTGCAGGGTATGCACCTGCACCCCCTGCGACTTCAGGTGGCAGGAACTAAGATATTCCTTGGATTTAAAATTTTAGATTTACATAACCACTCTATTCAGACTTGATATTATTATATATTTGATAAGCGGTAGCATCAAAATCAAAAGTGGGTCAAATGCATTTGTCCGAACATACCAATTGTACTATACCAAAATTTAGGGACAATTAACAAGATTACGTGATAATAACGATTTATTATCTATGGATATATTCGGCGTTCCCCTCTATATATCATGATAACATGATGTAATTTGAGTTATCAATTATATTATTTTCATTATTATTATTTATTACCTACTAGTATTATGAAAATTTAGTTTTTAAAATATCAAATATCATCAATAATTTTAGTAACTAATGTCCATATTCTAATATCATAATATCATATTAAACCAATGATGAGTAATAAAAGGACATTGAATGATTTTTGGAACCATGTACCAAAGGGACCTATAGCCAGTACTAGTTCTGTTCCAAATACAGGTGTATCAACTACAGGTAATATACACATTCAATAAAAATCAATTTATTTTACTATTTTTACTTTTAAATGTTAATTGTATCTGTTTTCTAAACAGCCAAAGAAAATGTTATAGGACATGCAAATAAAAAACTTAAGATGACCAATATACAGATTCCCTCCCTCCTATAACAGTATCAACAGGTATTTAATTTGCGTTTAAACCTATGTATTCATGTTTTCTTTATGAGTCTTAAATATGTTGTGTGCTCGAGGTAAAGGTATGTGTTTATTATTTGTTTTGAATATTCATTGGATAATGTAGATTAAATTTATTTAACTAATAATAATAATCCAATGATTTTATTGGTAGTACTAGATTGTAACACTTGTATATATTAAAATTTATTAACTTAAAACATTAGAAAAGTGTCTAGTCGAATTGACAGCAACAATACTCAACATTTTACTTCTGACAAAAAAACAGAAATGAAATGTTTTGTGTACTACACAGTTTTAGATGACCTTTTAAACGGATTAGAAGAACGTTTTAGTCAAGAAACACTTTTACTAATAAGTGCAATTGGACGTTTATTACAGTTTAAGCTGCATGAACAAGACTTAATTTTACTTTCCAATAGGTTTAATTTAAATGACAGTGAACTTGAAGCAGAACTCAGATTGTTAAAATCGTTACCAGAATTTGAAATTGGTAAAACTAGCAAAACTATTTATGAGTGGTTAAATAATCTGTCCACTAATAATTTATGTAATAGTTTTCAAAATATTTACAAGATATTAACTCTTTTTGTAACAATGCCAGTCACAAGTTGCTCTTGTGAGAGATCTTTTTCAAAATTAAGTCTGGTAAAAACAAAGCTAAGAAGTTGTATGACGCAAGATCGATTGGAGTCAATGATATTAGTATTTGTTGAACAGGAATTGGCATCTGAATTAGATCCAGAAGACATAATTGAAGAGTTCAAACATCTTAACAATACAAAACGGCGACTAGAACTTTAATTATTTTGAAATTTTGTAACTGACACATATATATTATATAATATTATATTTATTATTTATACATGATTTTATTTTAATTATTTACCTACTGACATCTATTATATGCCATCTGAAATAGGGACAACGTTTTTTTTTTTCATATTAGTTATAATAAATAATAATAATGACGAATTTTAAATTAACAAAAATTGTACAAAAAGGGGGAGGCTAAGGGGCTTTAGCCAGGTTGCACCCTCTGCGTCAAAGGTCTGGACACGCCTATGTATATTCATATGGGTGACCTCACCTGTACCTATATATGAATAATATTATGAGAATTCCAGACTAACATTTTTTAAGATTAAAATAAAAACAATTAAGCTGATTCGTTTTTTGAGAGGACAAGCGGCCAATATGATAAATATCAAGATATTTACAGTTGTACAAACATCAAGTAAGAATTTTGCAGAAAATTGTGTTAATAAAAATTGGTTTTTCATAGGTCCGTACTTACAGTGATCTAATTGAAGTTAATTTGTCAGTGTTTTCCCGTATAATGAACTACGTAGAAGAGGATTTTCAGCGTGCACAGTAGTGTAGTTAGTGGCCAGAAGCTAAATAATAATTAGTTGAAACTGTAATGGTGGAGAAAATTGCGATTAAACAAAATTAAAATATGTAATTAATATTATAATATATTATTATTAACTATGTTTATAAAATGTATTATACATCTAACCTTTATGTATATGTATTATATATACATCTTTATTAATAAGAGTATATAAATTGTAGCTGTACGATGCGTAGGTTAGGTTAGGTTAGTTTAGGTTAGGTATTTATACCTATTTCATATTTGTGCCATTTTCACGGATATTCACTTAACCAGATTTGATTTCTAGAAAATTATTGAAAATAAAGAACCAAGAATATACGAGTACCCGGATGAGTACCACTATAGTCTATAAGGCTTGTCGCTTGAATAATATAATAACTAACCAATGATATTACAAAATTAGTTTCAGTTTAAATGGTATTAATTGTTATTTATTGAATACATTTCTATCGAGGGAAATGATTTACTGCAGGATATGTGTATGTAGTTGTAGATGAGGTTATTTTGGCAATGGAAACGAAGAATTTGTGTTTATAATTTGGATTTCGGGTGTTCGTAATCATGAGTACCTACTGTATTATATATATTATGAAGAATCCATGTTAAATAAACAAAAGTTCATAAATATACAACATGTACAATAGTAAAGTAATAAGAATAGTAAATGAATTAATCACTTCTAACTATTCTGTATTCACCGTGAAGGAAGTCTGGCAAGAAGAAGTTATAAATATTTGAAACATTAATAAAATCTACTGTGTATATAATAATATTAACCATATGGTCGATGAAATATGTTTAGAGCAAACACATGTTGTTTATGTTAGTTGAAGTTAGCACTACAATGACACCGCTCTGAAAGTGTGTGTCTTATAAAGTTTTAAATATATGGATTTACAATATTACATTGACAATGTGCATAATATTATAATATACAATATTATACTATAAAGACTTGTGTGCAAATAATAAAATGTGTTTCAGAGGACATATCTGAGCATAATACATATTAACTACATAATAATACATCAAGTTATTAAATGTATACGTAACTTTGAAATAAGCTTGAGTTAAGCATAAGTGTTATTGAGTTATGACTTATAGACGATTGATACGGTTACAATGTATTATTAGAGGCTTGTTGAGGAGCGGTCGCACGCTCAATCTGCGGTGTATGTGCCGGCTGACGTCGCTCTAGCTCTCGATGGGTGACCACCCGAGTTTCTAGCAACACATCCTTGCCACAGATGCACAAACGTGTGTTATAATCCTACCAACATAAGAAACTTACTAAACCTATACTAAACACTCCCTTATGTACCACCTCACACTCAATGGTTTATGTTGCCACGGGTTCCCACCAATAAAAAAAATATATATATAGGTACCTATATATTATTGTATTTAAAGACATGTGAGTATATATTTTTAATTATTGTTTAAATTCAACTAATTCTATAATAACATAGAATAGTGACAAATCTGGATTAAAACTATTTTGGTTTCCGAAATCAAATTAAAAAACAGTAGGTAAGTACACATTTCAACAAATATTGAGCAATTATTAAAATCAACTAAGGGCGTAAATTACACGTATTCTGGGAACCCCAAGAACGTGGCTTATATATTGTTCTTAAATATTACAGCCTAAATGAGAATAAACTTAACTTAACTAAGTTATACAGTTAAATTTTACTATAAAATATGAGTAATATAAGTATTTATTATAGTGACTCCCTTCGCCTGCCGTCTTCAGTCACCGGATTTAATATGGGTAAATTCCAAAAATAAAAAATAGAAAAATTTGTGTGGGGCTGTAAAGTGCATTTTATCCAACATTTTATCTTACTGCAATCTAGGAAAGTGATCACATTACCGCACTTGTAAGTTGTACCACTGAGATTTTCCGTTTGTTGGCGCATAAAAACAAAACCATTAAAACAAATTTTCCAATAATATTAATATTTGCTACAAAAAATAATAAACGAAAATATTATGCTCATGTGATAAAAGGATGTATTCAAAATTATCATCCCTTTACTTGTAAGTCCCTGATAATACGCAGTCGTTTACGATGTAAAGCGTTCTAATTTATATACTACCTCGTACTATACGTGTACAGCGTGATTTTTAAACTCGCTTATCCACTTCTAATATTAAAAATAGTTATTTGAGTAGATTATGCGTTCATCTAAATCACGATTTTTGGGATTTTTAAGTAAACTAGTTTAGTCTAGAATAAATAATAATATACAGAATAACGATGTTTATTTAAAAACATTTTTGTATATCATTCAAGGACTTGGCGATCATGCAATTATTTTATCAAAGTTTTAATTATGATTTTATAAACCTAGATTTATAAAGTTATTATTTATATTATAATTATTATTATTATTATTATTATTAGCTATTACATACACTATGAAGAGCTATACGAATTAATCGATATTGGTCGTAGGGACGTTCTCATAGTAAGTGCAACTAGGAACTCGTATATATTATACGTATTATGAGTATATAGGTAACTGAAATGAGTCTTACGATTTATCTTAATGCACAAACAACCATCCTCAGAAAACGGATAATGCTTGTATTGGAAGTAATGAGGTTCGTAAACATAAGTACAGAATTCTTTGAACTCGCTTTACCGGGATGTCATCGCACTACACAATGTTTTAATCTCTCGCTAACAACAGTCAACAAAATGAAAAACACTAAAGAGATTCGAACGGCACAGCGGAAAATGGAGACGAACGACTCATCCTCAGACCGACGACTTATAGATGACGTGAAGCTTATCACGGTTGCCGACCGGAAAATATTATAATATTCTATTGGGTTGGTAGAATTGGGTTAAACTGTTTAAGAGGAACCGTTGGGGGTCGGAGGACGTCGTGGTGAAAAACGAAAAATATTGCGGTTACCCAGTAAAGCCAGATTCACAGCTACGTCGAGAGGGCCTGGTAACTATATGGTTACAACTGGTGATCAGTATGATTTAAAAGTTGAGTTCTAGTCAATTCTCGGTATATTCTGGGTTGCACATTGGTTATTACATGATACCAAAAAAGTAACATTCAATATTCCAATCACATTGCGATTTGATCGACACTAGCTGTGAATGGGCCTTAAAGGTGGGTTCACATTGCACTGTGTCGTGTCGTGAACTTTTTCCATTTTTCAAAACACGATACCACTCTATGCCATAGATGAGTTTTTCATTCAATTGATATCAAAATAATATTTGAATTCATGTATTATCACTAGTAAATCTGTAACCACACGTTCAAAAGTTGGATGAAATTAACTCCGTGGTATATGTGGGAACATCATGGTATTCATAGTAGAATCCTTAAAATTGGTGGTAGAAACCAGACTTAACCACGTGGTTGGACCAATCTGAGCACGGCAACATTTCACGACACGACACGGTGCAGTGCGAACCTAACAGAGAACATAATATACTATGGACCACGGTATAAATTCGTTGACCGAGAGGGTACACATTGAGGAATTCTGTAGCGGAAAACGTTGCAAACGTTTGATAACGGAGGAATTCGGACGGTCTGCTTGCTAAACGAAGCTGCAAACTTTTGCAAACATTGCAAATGCCATGATCCAGCGTTTGGCCTGTTTAGTTCTAGTAACTAGTGGTCGAATTTGTTTATACTGTTGCCACTATCGCTAATCGCTATCACTATTCCCTATTCATATTTATAATGACTTATCACGACTTTGTAAGTCTTACACCACGATTACACAACATACCGCACCAAAGCAAGAGCTCACGAATTTCTACCTTTCAACGTTTCAAACGTTGGCGTTCGTACTGCAAAACGTTTTTCGCTAGAGAATTTCTCCCTTGTATAGTCGCAAACCGGTAACCTCTATAATTTTCCTGTAGTTAATCAGCAATCGTCTGCATTCTGCAGTCAACAACTAGCAGCCTGAGGAAAATTAGGTTATCACCCTACATTTTTCTCCTCGTCAACATTATTGACTGATGCGGCCGGCGAAGTGTAACTATGGGTTTTTATTTGATTGGTATTATATTATTAATAAAAACGTCAAAATAATTTTACCAGCATAGTCTAAACATCGTTGTTAATGTTACAATAAATGTAAAATATAATAACAAGTATAATAAATAAATATTAATTAATAATTTTAAAATATAATTTTATTTATAAGTAAATGTCAAAATAAACGTAGTACAAGTATACAATTTTTCACCTATCTTTAATTCGAGTTAATTTTTTTCCCCTCGATTATTCGAACACTCGGTAAATCGAAAACCTCTATAGATTGAATTTTTAACTAGGTCCCCTGGATTTCGAATTATCGAGTGACTAGTGTATAATGTGATGGTAATATAATTTTACATATGTGTGATGTGTCATATCAATAAAAATCATAATCAAAAACACAGCGATATCATACGGAGAACTGTGTGTAATAAAGCTCTCGGTGACTTTGGATTTCCCAAATTGCCCAAATTAAATACTCGTATTTTTCTCTAGAATGTTCTATTTTAGAATATGCTTTCGTCATTTATAGTCCTTGTCAATCTTGTTCGGTGCCGCTCATTCAGCTAAATTGTATTGTTATTATTATGTATTTAAGTAGGTAAATTCTATAATAATATTAGCTAATAAAATAATATAAATTATGCTGTATGTAAATACTGGCACTGCAGATCCCGCTATAAGTATTAATAAATTATCAATGAAAATAAAATATCTTTAACCGGTTGAATACGAATACACTCGATGTATAATATTCGATGGCTACACTTCGAAACCTCGCAATAGTCTAATTTACCTAATTTTACAGGAGAAGCGAAAAACTGTTTCAAATTAATAATGATATTATAATTACGAGTTTTTGTGTATCATTTGAGGAAAATACTGCGAAAAAATATGATATTATGATATTTAAGTGCACATTAAACTGAGCATCCAAGAAAAAAAATTATGACAATATTGCTTATAAAGTAAGACACTAATTATTTCAAAAACTTTTAATTTTTAAGTCATCAAATGACTTAAAATTATGTAATAAGAGATGTTTTTAAAAAACGTTAATGTTTTCTGAAATAATGAGTGACTTACGTCAAAATGTATCACTCCGAATACACTTTCTTACGAGTTATAGAGATGTTCTCTCATCGACGAAAGCACAATATAATATTTTATGACTATATATAAAATAGTGTTGGAAAGGTCGTCTAGTTGTTCCATATGATATTTAACTTCGAACTACACTCGAAAAGTCAAAACTTATTTGTTCTTTCATATAGGTAGGACGTAGGTAAATACCAGAAAATTACTATTGCGAATCGTGTTAAATAAAAGAAAAATTCATTGCACAGCTATTGTTATCATTTATTTATTTATAATGAAGTAGGTAGAGACAACGATGGTACATAATACACATCATAGAGTAATAACATATTGTACAAATGTACACTTAAGAATATCATACAGAAACTTTTTGAAGACTTAGTAACAAATTATTTATCTTCCTAAGAGTGTTGGGGCTGGTTTTTAAAATGTTCCGCAATTCTTTAAAATTTGAAAATTGTAACTGCATTTACCAAAGTAATAAAATAATTTACAATATACTATAGTTACAAGGAAAATACTGTACATATCATACTATACATTATACTCATGTTTTATTAATGTAATGGTATTAAATAATTTACATTAAATTAAATATATATTTTAAAACTTTCCGTGACTCACCAAACATAATATAATAACTGTGTCCCACAGTTTGGGAATCTCTGTTATATTTTAAAGTGATTACTGATTAGCTATTATAACTAATTATTGTTATTACATTTATTTTATAATTTGTTCGTGAAGTAGACGTGTAATTATGACATCTTCATCGTGTATCACTATGCTAAAATTAATAACGCCGCTGACTATTCGAATGAGTCATTTTTTCCAACAAAATTCATTTATATATAATAAAACATGATATCGATATAGGAAAATACTGTTACTAACTTTTTTGTTCATTTATCCGTAAATCTCATAATACAATACACGATTACGTTCGACATTGACTGAGTTTCGGTACAAAAAAAAACTAGGGAGTCGCACTGTATAATTTTCCATTCAGTTAGTAAGACCATAAAGGGTGACTGTATTTGATACGTTAAATTTGAATTAAGCTGTAAATCATTCTATAAAAAAAAATAATTCTAATTGTTGACCTACATTTTTCTAAGAATACTTACAAATTGTATATTACAATTAATAATTTATTTTTCTATTAGGATACCTACCGTAGATCTAATTTTTGCTAAAAACATATTATATATGTGACATTATAACTATAATATGTCACATGATTAAAATTATTATAATAGTATACCAAATACCCTAGATGCAGCACTCGGACCTGACTCGAACATCGCCACATAAATTTTAAAGTTCTTAAACAAAACATATTGTATAAACTAATTTTACAAAAAATAATTGTAACTTATGGCCACTGTCACCGATATTAATAAATTAAGAACAATAAATAACTATTATTTTTATATTATTTTATATACCTAATATTGTAGTATATACTATTATATTAGCTGTTTTTATTATATAATTTCTAAGTCAATACTTACCGTACCGTAGAACGGTGTTTGTGGCTTAAACTAAGCATAGTGTAACTAACCTAAATATTTTTGATATTTTATTGTAGGTATAGTAAATAATATTTATACGTGAATTACTGAGAAAAAAATTGTGTATTTATTTTATTAAGAATTTAGGGTGCTATTATAAATTGTTAAGCTTTTTTAGTTTTTTACAGGTTGTTATCATACCTAAATAAAAAAATCTACAAAAGTTGAACATTTTAAACGTCTATAAAAAGCACAAAATATCCAAAATATTTTTAAAATTATATTCTAATCATGCGTCTAGAAAACGCTAATATAAGTATTTGGGGAAGAACCAGAGGTATCTGAAGTTATTCATTTTTGAATAATTATAAAAACAAAAACCAAATTGATTTAATTGAAAATTGGTTTTAATAAAAATAATTGTTTTTATTTTCTCGGTTATTTTGTATAGTTTAATTATACAAGAAATGTTTACTTTTAATTTTTAAAATACTTACCACCTACAAGAAACTAACTTCGAAGTTACACACACACACACCCATTATTACAAAACAATACATTCATCGCTCAACTTCGAATCTAAAAACCACGTCCACGACGGAAATAAGTATAATAAGTATATGTATAGTAATAGGTATACCCACCTTAATGTGAGACAATAAAAAAATAGTTTTCGAAGGTCGTGATCCTGGACCTAACCCACTGCCACTCTACATTATATTATTTCGATAACGACAAAATTACGATATATGCACGGACTGGCATTGTCTGACGGTGATATTATAATAATATTATACATTAATATTATACAAATATCCGTCGCTGTATTTGGCACTATATATTGTGGGCGAGGTACCTATACTTACGCCATCATTTTCTGGTTGTTCGGTTTTTAAACGGTTCACAGACACGCATAACCATAATAATATATTTATATGCTCATAATAAATATTCAGAGATTTTATAACCCATGTACATATCGTGCATAATAATATTATGTTGTACACAGTGATATTTTTCTTTTATCTGTAATAATCCTCGTTTTTGAGAAAAATATAGGTACTTTTTAGTAACACAGCCAACCGAAAAACATACAGAATTACATTATGATAACACAAATAGTATAATATAAAAAGATATTAAAAAAAAAAAACAACTTACATTTACTGTGGAAATAACTGCTGAGGGATAAGAGAAAATCAGCTGGTAGCCTACATTACAGGTTAGGTTATATGCTTTAGGTGATTATGCGTACGTTCGTCTTGTACTGTAAGGATTTAGTATACGTGCAATATAATACTCTTAATATTTATTGTACGACAATTGTAATATTTATTGTATATTATTATATAATGTGTAACGTGATAGTTTCCGCAAAGACTCTCGAAAACTCCAAAAACGTATATCATACATGGTATACTCGCTGCATTTGTGCATGAAGGTGGTGAAGGATTTACAGCATAGGCATTAACGACTGCAGCTCAGTTTATTTTGGTAGTCTATACAGAAACGAGAAAAAAAAGATGATGAGTCATAGACTTTATTAAAAATATATATATCATATTATATGATTAGGTATGTCATATTATTAATATAATATTTATTAAGCGTTAAGAATTATTAATAAACACGTCTATTCATTTTGCTAATTTTTGTTAATTTTTGTTAATTTCCATTTTTTTTTTTTTTAATTAGCAGTAATTTCTATCTATAATATTATACATAGTTGATTAATAAATAATAATCATTTAAAGTTTAGATAAGAGGATTTAGGAACAAACAAGAATTCAGGACATCATATATTATTATGTCTTATTCTATCCATCTATATTTTATATAGTACACAAACTACAAAACTGTAAACGCTAATAAAATATGATCAACTCAACAATTGGTTAATAATTTAAATCATTAAATACATATTTTTCGAAAACATAGATTAATATTTTTAGAAATACGTTCAACTCTGGAATCAAAAATTATGGTTTCCATTTAAGAAAAATAGTAAGCCCGAAATATTTCATCACTCAATCTCATCTCAAAATTTAAATAATGTACTATATATCCACTCAACCCAACATTAAAATAACTTATATTATACTATATTGCCTCCACTCCCATTGGACTTAGTATTGAAAAAATAAACTTTGCAAAAACCACGTGTGCGTATAAAATAGGCGCAGGTAGTAATAATAATAACAATAAAGGATAAACAATTCGTTTGTTCTCTATTGACGTCTGCTTCAGATTATTTTGATTAAAGTAATCAAAAATAATATATAGGTTTCCGTTGAAAATATTTGATAGTGGTTTTTCCACTAACATTACCACAAGAATATTTATATAATTATATTAATGAAGTTTGAATCGCGTGAGTCTGAATTTACGAGATAAAGAAAATTTTCTAAAACAACATTTGGTTACTTTTTCAAACAATGAGAGTTCTGCAATATAATTAATATAATTATCCAACAGTTATAAGGTACCTTGTATGCGTTTCGTCTGATCGGGGTGGGTTTTGAGGGCGGTCTCTAGCAATTCCTCGGCAGCTCTGGTATCGCCCAGCCCCCATAATGCTTCGGCCTTGTAAAGGACTGCGTTCAGTGATCGATCGTTGAGGCGCAAAGCTCGATCGCAATCACTAACGACTTCATTTATCAGACCCAAATTGATCTTGGTCAGAGCCCGGTTGGTGAACAGCACACAGCTGTCTTTACGCACGTCGATGGCCTAAACAAAGACAACAATAACAACGCGATAATAAAACAATGATACTGATTACTAGTAGTACAACCACCAGCAAGTTCAACTCCCCTCCCAATTTCCGAAAGAATATAAATTGTGTTTTTATAAATATATCAAAATAAAAAATTGTAATAATACAGGTATAGTACAATATTGTACTTGCAAATTTATTACAACATGATTTTTATTTTAAAGTATTTATATAAATACACCTATTAAATAATATGTTTCATATACTTCCAAAGTTAATGTAAATATCGAAATAATACTATTTAAATTGATGTGTTTATTTTATAATTTTTTTTTTCAAACTTGCAATACATTCGGAAATGACTAAACCGTAGATTTAATTCCTCCCCATCTATGTTTACAAAATCTATGAATATTAATTTCAGTTCGATGAATAATATTGTGCTCAATTCAAATGCCATGCACCGTGGGCAATGACATGTCACATGTGTACAAAAATAGCCATATTTTTTTTTATTTTAGTATATTATTACAACATACGAACGTCGTCTTGTAGACCAACATAATAGAGAAGGGGTCAGAACGTCAAACGGTCCGATATTCAATTTGAATTTAAAAACCTGTGACCTCATGGGTTAAAATAATATTACTTATCATTATGCTCTATTTAAAATACTACACAATAACGGTAAATGCATAGTCAGAAATACATTTTGATAGGGGGGTTAAATAAATCACAGGTTAAGCCGTACTAGATGGGTTTGGTTTTGGTTTTTGAAAAAAACTGCAGTTGTATGTCCACGAGTAATAGTAAAACAACAGTTATAGATAAATAATCGATAATGAATAATGATGTACCATTCAAACGAATAATTTACTACGTCGTCATAATACTGTAAAAAATTTAACTGTAGCTATACTGCGTTCGCAGAGAGAATGTGGTTCTATTGGCGCACACAATTGTTAGCAAGAGACGTGTTGATCCAAGCTAGGTTGATGCGACGAGGTACGATGCTTTTTGGTTCAACTATATTTTCTAACAATAATTTCGAACAAACAAAAAACACTGGCAACATAAATTTATAATAATTATTATTATAAAATACAATAATAGATATTATGCCTGCTACGCTATATAATGGCGAATTTATTTTCAATATATTTCTAATTTAATATATATTTGAGTATGAATAATTATATAACAGTTTAATATCAATAACAATATAATGTAATACGTACCTACAACTAATTACAATATGTACTCGTATGTATACTAGATATTAGGTAATAGTATTTATTATTTATTTATTTTTCATTACCTATACTGTGTGCAATGTGCTGTAAATTGCATTACTTTTTTTTATTACTATTCAGAATCTATATGGTACTATTAATACTTTGTAGGTACTATTAAGATAACTATTTGATGCTTGTAACAGTGAACACTTGTTGTATCACAAAGTATAAATGTTTTTGAAAATATATTTTTTTTTAATTTTTAAAGCCTTAAATTACACTAATATTACAAGACATATTTTTTACTAGTTGTATAGTAAACATACAAAAAAATAGATGAACAAATAATATTTATTATTTAACTCTATTACAATAATTATAGAAACGTTAAATATTAAAAACATTTTCAAATTAAATACATCCATTAGGTACAGTGAAGATGTTGTCCTACTCAACGATGAGTAACACTCAACACCGAAGACTATACAGCAGAGCAACATCCATATTTTTAAATATTTTTTTTTTTTTGCCAATGACAATAGATAATAATGATGATGATAATCAATGGACAATAATGTACATTTTTTTTTTCATATTCCGAGTTAAAGTATTTTTATGAGACGTTCGATGACTAAATATTATTGTCTCCTTAATTCACGTATATCATCTCATTACTACTCCACTCCGCAAAATTCTAGTCCACTACTTTAAAGTTCATACTCATGATTAATTCACTGCTTGTTCAAAATTCATATTATAAACATCGAAATACTTTGAAAAAACATTTCATTTCGGGTTATGAAATTAAAAATGTTTAGGTACTATATTAGTCAAAAAATTAATAAATTGCAAAATCAAACGATAAGATTAGTAACAAATTTAAAAACTATTTTTTTCTTCTTCAAAAGTTTGATTTTATTAAACATTATTTTACTATAACAAATTATTGAAAAAAAATTTAAAAACGTTAATATTTTTCGAGATAGTAAATGCTTATTGTTAAAATAATCAACCTCATGAAACATGTATAGGTATCCGTACTGATAAACGCAGTTAAATAAACTAAATAGTTTTTTTTAAATTTTATCTTGGGAAGAATTTTTGTTACTAAGATTTATTTTATTCATGTAAATGTTTTCTGTAGAAATAATTGTTTTCTATTGCGCACTTTGTAATACGCATTATAAATATTAAAGGTACCTTCCTAGTGCCTACCTATAATAATACCAGGTGATCCATTTAAGCGTGCACTCATTTATTTTTAAAGTAAGTTTTTATTTATGATTTGATATCATTTTATAACAATATTTCCGTTCAAAAAAGAGATTCGAAGAAAATATTTTTTTTTTACTATTTTTGATCGTTATTATTTGGAAGTTTTTCCTTTTTTGAATGACATCATACTTAGTTCACTAATTTCATAATACTAGTAGAATATTATTCAGAGTACTTAAAGCTGTAAAGATTAATTTTTGGATAAGTTGTTCATTATAATTTTAAAAATGTTAGTTTAGATTAGTGGGGTAGTGAGCAACAGGGGTACCCCTGTACCACTCAACCTCCTTGTCTAAACTTTAGATGCTTATAACTAATGAACTCTCTGATCCGAAAATTAATCTTAATAGATTGAAATACTTCGATTAATATCCTGCTTAGGAATATGAAATGTATGAAGTACAATGTCATTCAAAGAAGTAAGAACTTAAAAAATAGAAAAAAATATAATTGAGAACCAGAAATGTTGTTTTAAAACAACATCAAATTATGTAAAAAAAAAAAATATTTTCGAAACAATGAGTATATACACTCAAATGGATCACCCTGTATATTGTTATCTGTAGGTAGCTCAACGCATCAAACCATTTAAACTCAAAGTTATGTTGTTATCATTGGAGATTATGTAAACGGTGTACAATAAGTAATACGTATATTAATAATTATAATATCTGTCATTGTAATGACATATATATTAATATGTGTCATAAGAATTATTGCGATTAACCAAGAATATTGCAATAGTTGTTAGTCAGCAGTTTAACGTGATTTTTTAGTTTATTTACAACTGTATTGGGGATTACTTCCACACCACGCTACACCACACAATTTACAATACAAAATACAATTGTCATCAAATCTTGGCCACGGTCCCAATAGTTTAGAGTTAATGATTTCCTCTATGAATTTACAAAATACGTTAATGCATAATTATAAAGATATGCAGTGGTACCTAGCAATGTATTTTATTTCGCTCAGGTTTTGCTACTGCTATGTAGTAAGTTATTCAAACAATAAATAATAATTACTGTATTTACAGTGATTCTATAGTCAAATAATTCTAGACATAAAAGTTTTATATACTATAGTAAATAGTAACAACATATGGTTTTAAATTTACAATTCGAAGAGAGTACAAAAAAAACAAGAGCGCGATATGATATATACAGGAAGCGAAGACACAGGATTTAGATTTTAGATGTATGGATGTACTTATAATTAATAATGATTATTGATATAAATTTGAAAGCGCAATGATAAATCATTAAGTTCAAAAAACGAGGTTCTAAAAATGTTACCGATTACATGAGTTCACAATAAAATAAAAATTATAATAAATGTTTAAGGAAGAGCGATATTTTTTAAAAACCAATATATTCCTGATGGCTGATAGTTTCTCGAAACTATTAGTTTAAACTTTGTCTGTAAAATTAAATGTATTTGGAGTATAATAATTCTGTATTTTAAATCATCAGAGATCAGACTAAATTTTGATAATAATTTAAGCCTATATTAAATATTGGATGTATATTGCAAAACTAAAGCTTGATAATTTAATACAAGGTTTCTCATAAGAAGTTCATACTGGAACTAAAAATCTTTTAAATATACTATGTACACAATTGTAGTTTAAATTTGGGCAAAATGAGATATTTTTCAAAACACTTAAATTAATTTTATGCTATTGCCTATTTATACCACGAACTTACTTACACTGTTCTGTACGGTAAATCGATATTGACTCAAAATATGGCATCTTCTCGGCAAAAATGAAATTGGCATACCATAATAGGTACTATAATTGGTTGAATAAAATGCCATTGGCAACATAAATAAAATATAAAATATTCTAGGCTGCATACAGATTATCTCCACTCAATTGTTTTTCGTAAAGTTTCATTATAATCGAATTAAAATTAACAACTATTACAATTAGGTTAGATTAGGTTACCTACGCCTATTGCACAGCAAAGTTGTACTTACTCGCAGTCTTTTTTCTTATCACGGAGTGTCAAAGTTTTTCGAAAGAATCAACCTATCAAAATTTGGTACCTACATAACATAAACAATTTTATAAATAAATATAGGTAATGCTCCATTTTGGCAATAAGTACTTATACCAAATTTTGATAAGTTGTAAATTAAAAAAGATATTTTTATAGTATTAATGATTAACTATGTTTAATAATACAATTAATTTGTTTGCACCTACCTAGTTATTAGTTTTATAACATTTTTTCAAAGTATGAATTGACTTAAATGTTTTTAGTAAAATATTATATAATAAGTACATTTCTAGTATCAAGTAGATGTTTCCACAGGCTCTAATGAAAATAATGCTATCGCTAAAAAATTACAGACTAATGGCACGCTAATTAATTTTCGGTATCTTTTAAGTCCTTCCACAAAGTACTACCGACTTTATAATCACGACTGATCACTACCAATTTTTCGCTGTTCAATCCCCTAGGGATTGCTGATAGGCAATGATATAAGAGAAAATAAAAGCGATGTGGATTGGCGGACTGCACTATAGTGTATCGGACCAGTGGATTTCTGCAGAAGTAATTTATATTTTCTCATAACAGTTGTAAACTTGTAGCATGTGTTTATGATAGAAATATGTCTTCTAGTCGGACAACGATGAGGATCTCGATAAATGACCCTTTGTCCGGCTTGGTTAAAAAGAAAGAAAAGTAAACGTGAAGAAAATGACAATAAAAACTCGTCAGTTGTCAATAGGTATACCAACCGTCTGTGAAAAATGTTTTTTTGTGCCTACGGTTCGGGTGATGTGTATAATATATTCAATAATCGTCAACGAAGGAGCTGCTGGTTAAAAGACGAACATTTCCCATTGAAATGTGCACAAAAGATCGTGCGACACCTTTGATCGACCCTCGGTATAATTTTTGACACACTTCTGTGATGTCAAAACGACAACACGACACATTATTATCCTGGCTATATAATACATGAAGAGTGATTCATTCGCCGTGAACAGCGCAGTAAACACGGGCGTTGGGCAGTATTTTTAGGAAATGTAAAGATTTTTGAATTATTATTCTTTTGAAAACATTTATAAGTACACACGATTTTACATTTTGCGTTTTACGATTTTTTTTGCGGTATAAAAATAACAATAAATAATAAGAAAAAAAAATATTAATCTATTAAATAAAAATATTTTAAAATTCCTATTATACCCATGGAGTCTCTGAGATACTGCCTGGTTCACCAACCATAAAAGAATCGCACACTATATGCCATTATATATATTATACATATATATATGTATTACATTTGAATATTATATATTTTATTCTTTTGACGTAGATTTATATATTATTATTTTTTAAACTCACATTTTTCGTTCAACGAAGGTTTCTAAATGGTCCTATGGAAAAGAATATAATATTTTGTGCTTGTTCGTATTCATCGCGTACAATGACGTTATTTATAATTATTATTAAACACATACTACTACCTATAATATTGATACTTTATAAGTCATCTTACGCGAGGTACAATAACGAGTTCTTATTTGTTATTATCAACAACATTTTTTCGATTTCCGTTCGGACAATAATATAATATGCATATTGTGCATCCTTATGAGTTCGCTCTTTTATCAAAATATTCGTTTCTATTTTGTGCGTCAAATATTATATTGAATAATCACGATAGACGACGCCCATCACTTCATATCAATTTAGTCTCTCAATAGTTTTTATAATATCACCGTATAGTAAACGGATAACGGTAAACTTCAGGATGTATAGTGACCTCCTATACACACCTTACATACACTTTACTCTCTTTGAACAGTGTAATTGTAACAGTTTAATCAGTTTAATGACTGTCGAAATGTGCGTATACCTACGTGTGTATGCGTCGTATTCATATAATATTATTTGTTTGTTTAATTAGCTCATTTATTCGAAGCAATATCAAAATTAATATTAAAATCGAACTTTGAATCCACGAGATATCATCATCATATAGTATTTTATATTATAAAGTATGATTACCGAGTTAAATAAATTTAATCATTTTTTGAAAAAAAATTGTATTCTCTTAAAGGCTTTTTTAAATAATACTGACGTTTAGGAAAAAGTCTAGTACACAGTAAATGTTCTCCTAGGCCTAGGGCATGTAATAAATATTATAATTGCGTGTATAAATGCATAATTTATTATTAACATCATTACACAACATTTTTTTAAGAATAACTATAATAATATAGTAAAATATTTATCCTACGATTTGTATTCCTACATTATATTAATTTAATTCTCAAATATAAGTAATAAGAATACACAGTATAAGACTAAAAACACCATTATAAGTGTTTGTAAACAACAATATTTATTTTTATTGTATACAATTGTCAATTATTTATAAAATAATTAACCTTGATGATCCAAAACTAAATTGTTCAGATAAAATATAAAAAATAGAAGGAAAATGTCAACCCATGTTAGTCAATGACCTTAGAATTAAATATTTATTAATTATATTTTTATTTGTAAGATACTTCTACTATAGCTATGTGTTCCTTTAGTTTATTATTATAGTATCCATTGTCATTGATACAAAGTATACAAAGAGGACGAGTTGCAATAAGTTCAAAATTATTATAAAAAAATATTATTTTTATACACTATATTATTATACAATATATAATGTAATTGTGTTAGATACTTTAGATATACAATGTGCCACCATATGTTTTTTATCATATTATTGTAATGTTGACTTTTGTCCTTCATAATAAAAATTGGACGTCACAACGACAAATGTATAATATAAGGTACCTAGGTCCTAAATCACGTTCTAGTATAAGTATCTTAAAAAGACAGCTTTCCGAATAATTTGATCATGGTGATTTGTAAAGTGTTGGTTAATTTTTTTACCCAGCGGAAATCTCAACGAGATCAAGAAACCATGACAGTTATTCGGAAATCTCAAAAACTAAACTCTACCTACTTGTCGATAAATAGGTATATTACCAAAATTACATAGGTATATACCTACTATTAGATTATTCCTGTATGATGAGACTATCGTGAAAATTGTAATGAAACGGCTTATCCCTTTACAAAGTTTGGACACTTTTCTTATAATATCGGTAGGTAGGTATACGATACAAATATATAGACACATAATAATATAACATTTTTAAGTTACTTATAAATAATAATATAATAAATACATGCGATGTTGTAGTTGTCCTAATGTTGGAACTACAAAATTTAAACAATTAACAATTATTATAAATGTCAACAAATAATGAATATATAATATATTTAAACACTGTACTGTACACCCACTACCCACCTTAACCTAATCTGTTGTTAATGTAGGTATCACCGTGGCCACGTAGGGAAGGTACCTATTATATACAAAATCCAATTATAGGTAATAATAAAGTACAAAAATAATTTAAACTATGCTCTAGTTGCATGAAAAATTGATTAATTTAATGGTTTAATAAAATTTAATGGGTCACTAAAACATGTTTAAGGAACTATCAGCTCACTTTTCATTTATTAAAATATGTTAAGTGATTGTTCATGTAATCAAGTAAATGTCCGCCAAGTCAACACTGGCACATTACGCTAGGGCTACAAAACTGGTATCAAAAATTTGCTAGAAATTTGCTAGATTTTGCTATTGACCCTAAACTTGACGTACATCTAAACTCTTAATGAAATATATTTATTTACTTGATTGTAGTAGATAAGAGCTTTTTCATAGTTCCCCTTGCGGTACTCACAGTTGCCCATCGTTTTCAAATAGTCTGAACGTTTTATTTCCTTTTTCTTAGATTCAGACCTCTGTTTTGCGTCTCTTTCCACGTGTGCCATAAATCCGGCTGTAAACAGACGAAAATATTATACACATAAGCAAATCACATACAACTTAATACTATATATTATAACGAAGACGTTGAAACAAAAATATAATAATCATTTTTTTGTACAATCAATTGTAGCGTCCCTACAAAAGCTTTTTACTTTAGAATATAAAATTAGGAAAACACTTTTTTTTTGCTCTCTGACTTCACATCTGACATCACACCTCCTGTGCAAAGATTTGTTTTTCTTTATAATTTTATTTGTAAAAAAATGTATATGTCTTATTTCTACTAATTATAATAGTAATATAGATAATAACCTACGGGTGCCCCATTCGAAATTCTGCCAAAAACAAACACACACGTGTTCCCCCCTATCGTCCCAATATATACAATACAAACCTACAATACAAATCCTACTACAGCTAATGGCCTCAGTTGCCGAAGCTTAAGATCAATATAAAAAAAAAAAAAA